GGCAGATTTGTCGACTAACAATACTGTTACCTGAATTTGTTTTCATCATTTTGAAGCAACGACAACCATAATTCACGAACACGTTTTGAGCAGTAATGAATATGGTGTACTAGACTACCAGCATATGTACAAGCTGATTTACTTAAATATGACAATGTGATGCGCTACACTTGGATTTTCTTAAACGGCATAAATTTCTTGAAACCGTTAACTGAAGTGCTACAATGGGCTTCAAAATTTTGTTACACTCACAAAACGCGCGCAACCAGCTACTTATCTGTACTCAATCAGCCAAATTCCGGGCTGGCCATCGGCCTGTTGAGTTCAAACGCTTGCAGCTTGCGCATTTCCCAATCAAAACCGTCAACCAATATCTCAAAAAAAAGAGAAAAAAATTACAAGAATTTTGATACCAAGCAGGTTGTTCTTTATGAGTTCTAAGAGACAATCGAGGCATCTGAAGTTTCTCGTAGACATAGCATAGGATTTTTCATCCACGGTTTGGTTCCAGTTTTCAAGCAGCACGTCTACGACAAACTAAAATGGCTCGATTTTCTCTTAGATCTCATGAACGAGAATCTGTTTGGTATCACAATTCTTGTAATTTCTTTCTCATTCTTTTGATATATCGGTTGATGGTTTTCGTTGGGAGATATGCAAGATGCAAGTGTTTGACGTCAGCAGGAGTTACGCGTTTCCTGGTTACTGGTCATTTTATTGGTCTTGGCTATTAAAATATCGGTCCCGGACCGAATGTAACAAAATTTTGAAGTCCATTGTATGTATGTTTACGAGAGACACTGAGTCACCATTGAGTGATAACCACATAAAGCTGATTAAAATTCTTTGTTCCGCCATTTAATAACTTTAAATGACTGTATGCTACTATGCACGCTACAGTTTGCGACTCTGCAGTCTTCTGGTACAAAAGAGGCTCTAAAAAACAATCTAAAGCAATATTGCGGGACAAATTTTTACATCTTATTCGGCTCAAGGCCACAGCTTCGTTGTTCGTGAACTAGTTTTTTTGCTGTAAATAAAAGCATTGGTGTAGTATAAGATACCACAGGAAGGACTGTTCACCAACATTGATGCAATATGCTGAGGTAATTTTCTGTTCCTAGTTTTTCTGAAGAGAATTTTGCTAATCGCATGATTGGTCACATCTATCCGACAACGATGTTGGGCAATGTTGCGATGACGCTTATGTCAAGCCTTGAAAGGGTCTCTGCAAAGCCCCTTCCCAGCGGATCCATTATCGGGATTGCTGTTCTCCGAAGGGAGTTGCTGAACGAGTCTTCTCGATCTTCGATTGATCAACGGCCAAAACTTAACACAGCACATTTCTGTCCATTCTCAGCAGAACATCGACACTACAATTAATTTCATTTGGCTGGTCCGTTTTTACCGGTATCCAACAGATAAGAAAGGTAAAAGAATACCTTAAAGACCATGGAAAGTTCATGCATCTCGCCTCATAGAGCATCTCGGATCATTATGGGCGTTTTTTGCTTTTGGATGGTCTACCTCAAAATAGGCGGTCTGGATACAGCACTGCTCCGAAACGACGCCAGCGCCAATCGTAAAACATTGTGCTGGATCTTCCTTGTCAATGTTTTCTATAGAATTTTCGTTCTAACCTTCACCACGCTGAGGATTGCCATGTTATGCCTGATTTCCATACCCAGTGTGATTAGTCGACTTACCGGCACATTAGAGAATTTTATTAATGTCGTCGGTTACGGCCAGAATGAGGTTATTTTCATCATCACCGGTGTCTCAATTCTCTGCAACGCGGAAAAGGTTTCCAAAGCTGTACGACAAATTACCGCAATTGCTGCACAGTATCAATCACACAATGTGGCCATTATAATCGGTACCGTGTCGGTTTCTTTAAGTGTCCTCGTTTATGCCGCACAACAAACCGTTGGCGGCGCTGGACACGCGCGCAATCTATTGCTACATGCGTCGTTTCCGCAGTTTAATCGGTACTGCAACATATCTAGAACATATACGGAACATTTGTCGCTACTATGGTGTGCTGTGCTGCTGACTGCTAACGATCTGCGTCACGGTATCGTGGCGCTGGTGTTCTGTATTTGTATAACGTCCGCGTTCACTTTTCGGGCGATCCATTTGAAAATGCAGACAGCCGTTCAGACGTGCGAAATGATGACGGTGCAGCCGCTTCTCGATCATCACACCGCTCTCAGCACCGCTGTACGGAAACTGGATAAAGCGTTATCTATGTTCTTTCTACTGTTTTATATGGAAGTAATTATGGTGTATATGTGGATTATCAATAATCTTAATAAGCAGGCGTTGGTTTTGTTGTTACCGCCGTTGCTGTACGAGCTATGCTTGGTGGTGGCGGTCACCTGTGCAGCGGTCTTTCTTACTGAAGAGGTAATGCATCAGATGGTACAAAAAACGCGAAAAAAGATTTCGCTGACGGCGATCCGGTAGTCTGTTGTTAAAAGATTTTTGCTGTGCCCTGATCTTTTTACGTTTAATGCCATTTTTCAAAGGCATTTTATACAATTTAGAAAATAAGGGGTTTCCTTCGCATATTGCACATTAAGCTCTTTTAAGCGATTTTATCTCAAAAGTCAAAATTTGGACTCGAACGTAACGAAATAATTATGACCACAGCTTTGCATTGGGAAAGACTGGTTTCAAGTGAAACCAAAGTGTGCGCAGGTTGTATTAATAGGTTTTTGGTCAGATGATCTAGTTTCCTGATGGCCCTACAAAACCGTAATACTCTGTAATAGATTTCAGTTTGTGTGTTGAACAATAGTAGAACAAATTGAGCATATTTTTTGCAGGCTGATATTTCGAATGAACTGCAAATGCTGGTGGATGGTGGCCAGGAAAAGGAAGGGCAACTGAATGGGTTTGTGCAGCTGTACGAATTCTCCAGCCAACCGACGGTGTTCACCGTCGCCGATATAATCAGCATCAATCGTACATTTGTCGCCAGCGTAAGCAGTACTACCTAATTTTCATATTGTGCTTTCATTGTTTTGAGCACTTGAATCAGAGATCGGTCTTTTTTAGGTTATTGGCTTGTTCATCAGCTACGGGATCCTTGTTGTGGAGCTGGGCGAGAAAGACACCGACGGTGTTCTCACTTGTTCTATGCCCGAGGACGCGTCAAGCTATTGGTGGAAAATAAACTGCACATATGCCAAAAACTCATGAAAAAAGCAAATTGTGCCGCAATGGATAATTCTTTTACAGATCTTGTCACAAACTTTTTTCCTTTTGTACAAAAATTATTTGTCTGTTTTCCCGTCAGAGATGCGTGTAATTTATACGATGACACAGCTTGCTTACAGACACACCGAGCTTCCTGCACTGACGGTAGGACGTATCACATAACCTGTAATCCCAATATTTGAACAGTCGCGGGAATACGATCTCAGCTCACCAGACGCATTTACAGCTAGCGTTTCTCGCAACTTAATACCCTTGTTGCGGGTTCTGGCGGAATATGAGGCATTCTCATGGCTGTAAAAACCGAGCGCTAATTCCTAAACAATAACACACCCACTTAAAATTTATTACATCATTTGCCGATTTTTTCGCAATCTGGCATTTAACAAAGATATATGGACTCCAGCCGAATACCAAGTTCAGTCAACCAGAAACACAAAATTAGAAAATCTACAGACACTTATTAAAAAAATTAAAAAGCAGTTATTCGATTATAATTTAATGCGCAACAGTTTAACTCGCATGTTGCGAGCTTTACTAGCTAGGTACAAGGATGCTTTGCGATTCCAGCATTTCGTTCTACAAGCATAGGGAAAGCTTTGTAAAGACTGATTAAAATAACTTTGCTAACTAGCGTCTGTAAAGAATCCCCGGGTAAGTAAGCAGACAGACTGAGATACATAGTACAGTATTATCTCGGGAATTCTCCTGCCACAAACTCGTTGATAACGGCTTCCTTACGGTGCCACTCATGCGCCAGGATGAATACCACACAGCCGCCCGATCTCGAAATTAACTGCCGTTTACCGGCAAACGGATACGGCCAGACCATTCTTTCTGCCTTGTTTGTGGAAAGTACAGTCTTTTGTAGATGCTTATTAGGCGCGCGCTGACCTTCGCTCTTGACGCTCTACGGTTGGTATAACATCCAGGTGTTCGCAGAGAAGACAAAATTATCTAGAACACCTGACGTCATCCAGAGGCTGCTCTCCCAATGCCAACATTTGGCCTTGTGCATCTGTCATTTTCTATAGATTTTCCGCAACACTCAGCGCAGGGAAAACTCTAAATGAAATCACTGGCATTTGCGGTTTAATAACCAATATTTTATTATGCGGAGATTATTGTTCTTCCTATCTGGCAATCCGTTTGCACACACCGGACCGCAAGTAAACTGTTGTACTTCTTAGGTAAAAGAAAAGGAGATATTAATTTTTTCATTGACCTTTAGTCTTTAGAGTGTTGTTCAGAGCATTAATTTTATGAAATTGTGGGTATGTCGAGATTCCTTTAAATTTCCGCCTTGAGTGGATTCTCCTAAAAGGAACATGACGAAGATCATTTTGGCGAAAACATGCGCAAATTGTCATTTCCCTGGAGTCCACCGGAATCCGGATTGCCGGCGCGGTACGTACCGTGCATTCACGTGCGCAACCCGATCTCGAATATAACCGAGGTGTGGTATTATCGCGAAATGACAAAACGATGCCCCGCGTTCTTTTTCTCTACAGCCTCCAATTAATTCCCGTGAAGGACAATCTGCCCCGGTGTTCGGCAAACGAGCCTAAGCACCGGATGATTACAATCACGACAAAGACCGGGGGTAATTAACCGCATTTTCTCCCCCAATACCCCATCGATCCGGTCGTCTATCCAGTGTACCATCGCGAAGACAGTACAAACCGCAAAGTGCAGTGTACAACACAGTCTCTGTGGTGTATATATAAAATGCAGCGCTCACCCGGCACACGCAGACCGAACGGATGCCGGAAGCGGTTAATAACACAGCTGCCGACGCCGGGATGATCCGCACTCATGTTGTAGCCAGTGTATACATGTCCCATTCATATTAATCGTGCGGGCATTTAATTTACACACACGCACTGTGGTCTAACATATTATATACAAACCACTCGCTCATCTTACAGTTTCCCGAGATTTGTCGCCCGCCAGCAGCGCCAGTGCGTACTTGTACCCTGTTCGATACACACTTGGCACCGGAAGTCCTATTGACATGGCGGATACAATTCCCATGGACCAGGCAGCGGCAGCCGCCGCGATAGCGTCCTGTGCCAATCTCACCGATCTCGGGGATATCTTTCATTTGGAGAACGTGGACGTCCTGGACAATTATACTCTGTATTGTGCTCTGCAGTTTGCCAGTAGTGTGGTGCAGCTGCAGACGACGACCGGCCGTGTGATGGCCACGGAGACGGTACAGCATATTGTCCTGATGGGATGTTTTATGGCCGTGGCGCTGCTGGGGAATATAGCCGTGCTGGTGCATCTTTTTAACCGGTCGACCAAACATCGCCAGATCTCCATCTTTGTCACGTCACTGGCTGCCAGTAAGTCGCGCTATCTATTAGTGCTATATCACAGAGGGGGGTTGTTGTTTTTTTATGACTGCAATTTCCGCCGTGCCGTTGACCGGCTTATGGGCATGTCAACCGCGAAACTGCGAACACAGGAAGCTTTTAATAAAATATGTAGGACAATAATCCCCTTTCCGCCGCATGTGTTATGGCTTGCAGCGCAATTAAGGGATTCTGTGTTTATTCAACGCGTATAATGTAGGCCTAAAAAAGCGGAAATCAGACCAATTTGTCGGCGATTCAAAAACATTTAATTTGGCAAGTGTGCAACAAGAGCACATCCGATGTGGTTAAGTTGCAGCACTGGATTTATATACAGAAGCGCTTGTTTGTGCGATATGCGTTAAACGAAGTATTTACTTTTCTGTACGCATGTGACGCAAACGCCGGTTTTTCGGTAAAGACTGACAAAACCGGCTTAATGATTTGCTTAAAATGGGCGTCAATCTTTCGTTGAACTTTAGATCACCTGGTCAACTGGTTCGGTTGCCGGTCCAAATATTGTCCAAAGTTTTGTATTTTCTGTAACATTTTAATTTATAAGGTCAATAATTCTCCTGCAGAGGAGTTTTTTAATTATATTTCCCTGTGCAAAAAAATGTCTTAAATTATATTTTTTCTCTATATTGCTTCAGTCTTCAAGGTCAACGCTTTCTATACAAGATTTGCTTATAAAGGTTTTTTTACGCGATTCGTCGGAAAGCAGTACAGTGCTTTTAACGCGAACCTCGATTAATAATTATAGCTTGTAGTCGTCGCTGTAAAGGAGATGTTTAAGCATCAATCTGCTGGATTATTTACACGCGAATATGTGGCCATTAGCAGGCCCTGTCTAATGGCATTCCTTCAAGTCGGTGTTGCTGCCAGTGTGCGGTTACTTCCGTTGATAGTAATTACTATTGATTGTTTTTCACTTGACTTTTTCCCCGGCCATGCTTAACGACGAATGTACATCACACTTAAGTGACGAGACGCAGCACTCCATTCACTCTTTCTCAGCTCGACACACTTTCTCTACTGCAACGTGCCTGCTTCTCACGCTAACTTAATATCAACCGGGGAATGTTTTTCTTTGCAATTCACAGTGTAATTGATAAATCCTGCTCTTCGGCGGACGATAGTGTGTACACGCTTCAGTGATTAGTTTCTTCGTCGGCAAATGATGCCAGTACACGTACGTGTTTGTTGACTAATGACACTTTCTATTAACGCATCGCGCGCCGCGCTTTATTAAACGCCGGCAATTTGATTCTAATATTTATTTACGATTACGTAAAAACGGTTTTCCATTGGCGAGCAACAGCAAGTTAACCCCGAACATTACAACATTCCAGACAAATCAGTAGCGCCGCCGGCAGGCAGAGAAACCCGCGGCAAAATCGTTTGATGATGGGTATCTGCAGATCGCATCTTTAAAAGTAACCAGAGACGCCAGAGCGATGCGCTGAAAATAAACCTCGTTATAGCGCAAAATCCCGGCTGTGCCAAAACCCGGCTCATTTGTCATGTAGCGTCGTCGCATCTGCATACACCTCATTATGCCGCGTCAATCCGATTGAATAGCGGTTTAAATAACCTTTGGCACACTATACACGTAGGTCCGGATTGAAAACGTTTTTCTCGGTATAACCGCTTTCCAGCATCCCTTGATGCACTGATTTCCGGGGAATACGGGAAGTGGGTTATATATTGAATAGGGAGAAACAGCCTCCGGTCTGTCAAGTGCACACGTCGTATAATGAAACACTTGCCGGTAATCGTGCCCGTTTCGGAAGCTGGAGAACATAATATATATTATTGCCAATGATATTTGTACACGAGAGGGAAAATGTAGCCGGTTGTGCGTAGCAGCTGCGCTGTGTGAGAGTAACAATAATTATTTTCTTATTAACACACTTTATTTAACGTTCGCCTAACGTCGTATTTTTCTGTGAGTTGTGACGACAGAACGCTGATAATTGAAAACGGCATATGTATATCTTAGAAATTAATAGAATAGTTACTTGTAATTTATTCTTAATCTTTTTTTTTAATAAAAGTGCAGAAAAGTTATATTTTGTGCTAAAAATGAAATAGTAGCGAACGGGAATATTTGAAAACTTTTAAGCGAATTTGCATTACGCTGCCACACCGAGCGGTTGCAGTTGCTTCAAGCGCTGGAAATTTTTAAAATTTTCACCGAAGAGTTTTTCGCGAAAAATAAATTATTTTAGCCAGGAAAGTGATTTCCACGCGGATACAAGTTTCTCTGAATGAAATCACCAGTACAGTATGCGTTAGTAGCCGTTGCAAACACGTGTGTTGGTGTGCGCTCAGTTGTTACTTGCTCTAACGCCAGCATTTTCCCGGTTGGATTTTTTCCCGTCGATATAGTCGGTCTTTATGGCTTGGTAATGTGATCGAAGCGCATTGAAGAACGCTTCTATAAAAAAGTATCGTTTTCCTGGAAGTGTCCACATTGTGGCGGCGACAAAAAAACCCAACGATGTGCATCAACCACAGTCTCTCATCATGTCGATATGAAAAGAACTGACAAATTCTCATGCAAATCGTATTGATTGCCGCACTAGTGATCCAGTGATATATGAAGGCAAACACATGTCCATAAACCTGTCAGACAGTGCCAAGCAGACACATACACTACTGTACAGAAGAATCAGCTGATGGAGACCAGTATGCGCAGCCGGCGAGCACGCACCACTGGCTTTTAATTACCTAACATCGCTTACTTAGCTGACATGTTAGCCGAAGAGGTCACCCAACTTTTTCCCCGCAGAGCACTGTCGCGAAGGACGGGCTGTAAAGTAGGCCTAATTGTGAGTTACGGTTGTCATTCAGCAAGTCCCTCATTAACCGTCCGGCAAACGTCATCAGGGTGCGCTAATTACGCTTAGTGTAACTTACGCTGAGTATTTGGTTTTTCAATGGGAAAGGTTCGTTTTAGTGAGACATGTTGGCAAATTATCGGTTTTTAAGTGATACAGCTACATGGTAATTTATGTTCTGTCCTTGTACAATTACAGCCGACATCCTCATCGCCATCTTCTCCATGTCCACGGAGCTGCTGTGGGAGGCGCTGGGCGAGTGGATCTTTGGGAATTTTGCCTGCAAATTCTCCACGTATATCCAGTGTATGCTGTTTTTTAGTACGGCGTTCATCCTGATGAGTATGAGTTACGATCGCTACGAGGCTATCTGCAAGCCGATGGCATTCTCCTGCAGTGCGGCACGCAGCCGGAAGATGGTGGTGTGCTCGTGGTGTCTGGCGTTGATCCTGGCCGTCCCGCAGGTTTTCGTTTTTGTCCAGGTAATTTTTTTCCCCAAAAAACTCAGGTTGCTCATTGGATTTCAGGCTGGAAACAGACATTATCTTGTTACAACGCTATCTAGTACAAAAAATACATTTATGTGCATTATCCAAGTAGTTTCAAGAGCTTGCCAAGAACTGGTTTGTTTATCTTAGGACACAGAAAATGTTATAAAAAAATTTATTTGCTATCCACCGTTACGATACGTAGCAAATTTCTCGATCATGTCGCGGTTTAATTTTGCACGCAAGCCTAAGTATTATTGCTGTTAATGCATGCTCCTTCCCCAGTGCATGACGTTCAGTGCTGTTAAACCGGTCATGCCACACTTTAATGATTATAATAATAGTAATATCTAAAAACTTACCGCATTAGTATTGCGCTTGTAGATGCAATAATGATACGGTTTTATCAGTGCTAGATTGAAGCCGACGTACAAATCTGTACGTACTTCTTTTTAGTCGGCTGAGCGCCGAAAGGAGAGCGAGTGGATGACTCACAAGCTGACATAATTGTATCTGTATACACATGCAAAAATAATAATAAAATACTTGCGCCGATGGACACTGATGTTGGAATATTGCTAATTTAAACGCCTGAAAGAATAACCACGACATTATGTTACCGATATTGATTAAACACTTGAAACTAATTGCATAGTATTCTGCTAAAAGAGTTCTCCAAGCCGCTATACGATAGTGCATTATAATTGCAGACGTAGTTAGTCGCGCAACTTGAACCACAAAGTTCATGTACGAGAAACCTGCACACTCGCAGCGCATGTATGGCAAATACAATCCAACTGTTAAGGTCACTGTGTACAAAGAGTGCAGACTCATGCAGTACAAGGTGGTTCCTAATGACCAGGAAAACAAGTCTAAAATAACTCGTTTTCGCGACGAATTAGCCGTGCTCCGTTGCCCAGTCCGTGTGTTCCTTGACGCACACCCTTGACCGCCAATACCACACTAAGGAGGCCAATCTCTCCGTTACACCGGCAGATCGGACCGCCGCGGGAACACCGCCCCACCCGCATTAGCGGTTATACCCAACCCACGTGCCGGTCTACCGGAAATCTCTAGTGACCTTCTACGCCTGAGCTGCGAGCTGCATTGTACAAAACAAACAGATTAATTTGCGCGCTATCGCGTGCTGCATTTTCTCAACTGGGAATTGCGTAATGAGAGGTAGTCGAGTCTGTTGGTCGCCCTACAGAGTCAGCCACCCGGAGACGGGTACAATTAACCGTAATGATTACAACGGATCCCGCAAATCTTTAAGGCAGCCCAGGCTCGTTTCCCGAACGTATTCGAATATTTACGAAAATTATTAACAATAAGAAAATTCGTCTAATTCTTTGAACGTCAAGTTTGTGCATCTACAATTTTGTGGCGCATAACTTTCGTTCTGCAAATTAAATGGCTATCCTTTTGCTAATAAAAACAGCTTATACAAAGAATGCAACAGGCATTCTTCGCAAACATCGTTAATCTGCAAACATTCATCAGACTTTCACGTTATAGTTTTAAAGTAATTATTGCATTCTTCATTAAATTTGAGTTTTGTATTTTTCATTAAATTTTATCGACCTAACACTGTAAACGCATAGTTGTGCACCGCACACAAGATTTCATCGTTGTGCGAATACGCTTTCATCTGTGTCATCGGCGCCATGAATTTCATTACAATAACCTTCCTCGCGTTGCAGCACCGTAACAAGGTCGAATCTTCGTCGGAATGGCTCAAACCCACGCTTTTTAAATATTTCCGGTTGACAGCATTCCATCGACAGCAGAACGAGCTTGCTACAGATAATTAATTAGAAACATATTTCTTATAACGGTAATAATGTAATATTTCCATATAAAAATATTATTCTATCAATAATTTTACTTCCATTCTCGGTTCATCGCTATAGGTAAAAATCTTCGTGAAGGTAATCAAGTAATCTGCAGGTTCGGGCTATAATACAACTGGAGTCCCTGGAGTGTAAAATTCGCGGTAAACGAGAGCGGGAGAACAACAGGATTATCCTTGTGGGGATAATGAGGAGAGTGATCATTAACTGACTTTGCTGGCTCGCTTACACGGCCATGGCATTGGAAACCGTATACGCTTCACGGCAGATAGATAGCCGTGGCATGTAATGATCAAATCGGGGACGGCGGAGAAAGGAGACCGAGGGGACACTGATTAAACCGTTAATCCTCCCCATCGCGCAAGGAAGACCGTCAAAAGAGCAGCAATCGCTCGACTTTCACGGCTTCACGCTTACGTCAATCTGTTATTATAGTGCAGTGTACCTAGATAATAAAACTAATTTTCTTTTAAACCTGAACATCGGCTTAAAATAACAATTTGGAAATCCCTTCTAATTTTTTTCTGAATGCCTTCCTACGAAAATTCCGCACGGGAAAATTAAATTTTGTGGAGTGCCACAGAATTTACCGAGAAGCATATGTGTGGTTTTTATCGCATGCTTGTTCCGTAATTTTTAACGTTGAGAATTTGAGATAGCCCGTAATTAGGTTGCCGATTGCCACTTCACTACGTCTACCACAATGATAATTTTACTCTCAATATTTAAGGAAAATATTAAGGGCACATGTTAATATTTTGTAATTTCTATCGATAGCGGAACCAGTGTGGCGTGGCGCGCCGTAGTACGGAATTCGGCGTTACCCGTGAATTCATATCTGTCGCTGTGTTGATGTGATAGAAATTACGGGACAACCTTGTACATACTCTACGAAAATAAAGTCAATAAGCAGAAAAAAGGTCAACCGATTTATATAAGAAATGCACGTCAGAACGTACGACATTGTGAAGCAAAATTTCAGCCGCGCAACAACTGGTGATTGTTGACTGCTGAAACCAGGGCAATTAGTTTAGTTATATTCGCCGAACAGTGCGTGATTGTCTCTGCGTGTGAACATAACGCTTCTGTTAGACCGCGTTTCCTGTAAAGAGCAGTGAAATCAAGCACACAGTGCCGGACTTTCAGCCATGCAGTAACACAACGAGTACACAACGCAAGAATGGTGTCTTCCGGCTGACCGGCTCCCCGTGGTGCGGTGCGCGTAGTTGTAAGTGGAAATTCGCGTGCAGGCCGAATTAAATACCGCAGCTTTTCCACAGCTGACACTTTAATTGTGGTGTATACACTTGCACAAAGTAGGGCGGGAAACGCAGTGTTAGCCTACGGACGGGATATCCGCTGCCGTGCTGTCGCGACGATCCTTAATACATGCGCAGCGCGCACGTGGAGAAAAAGTAGAGCATAATTAACTGCACATTAAAGACGTCAGAGCGTTAATAGCCCATCGCGATTATGCGATGCAAAGTTATGAAAAGAAGTGGCAGGTGTAATCGCTTCCGTATCGTGCTCCCTAGTGCACCGGCTGAAAACTAAAAGGTTTTAATCGTTTGCGCGGCAAATTAATAATCTTATGTACAGCGATAAAGTACGTACGTACTTTATCGCCAACGAGATTCGCCAATTAATTTTAGTGTCTCGTACAGCCATCCGATATGCGACAGCAATTAATTAACAATTAATTTATTAACACTTAACAATTATGTCAGCTGCGTACCTGACTGTTTTTCCAACGACCAAAGAGCGCGAACGTGTACGTAAAGCACAACCGGGTAGCTGCTATACCGTTGTATATAACGAAAACACGGCTACTTAAAATCCAGGAACCGTTCAAGCTCAGTACGTTCGTAATCTGTACGCGACATGTACAACGCAGACTCGCACATCGCTGTATTATGGAATTACGTCGTTCAGTTTTTAAGCGTGCACATGATATAATACGTATCAGGTACCGGCTACAATATTAAACTGCCTAATTACCGTAATTATCGAATTTGCACCCCTGGGGTGCAAAAGTTCAAATGTTCTGGAGGAGGGGGGCTTATTTCGGGGAGGGGGCGTTATTTCGGGGGGTGGTACTATTTTTCAAACAGTATTTTTGGGAGGGGGCCGTTATTTTTCAAACAACTCCGCATCCTGTTCCATTGAAACTGAACGCAGTAGATAACAGTGTTTGCAGTTTCAGAACCTTGCGAGCAGCATTCTGAAACATAGCACCAAATTATTTTTGTGACCATTTACTGTTTATTCATTAAATCATAACTATCATTATGAAGCAATTGGCGGTTTATTTATCATTTTGTGGCGCTTGACATTTAATAACGCCCCCCTGGGGAGGGTAATCGGGGGGAGGCGCTATTTTTCAAACGGGTTATGGGAGGGGGGCTTATTACGGGGGGAGGTGCAAATTCGATAATTACGGTATTTAATTAATGATCCCTGTTTTTCTACACCCTGGAAAACAACCGCCGCACAGACTTTTATTCTAACGGCGCATCTTTCTTTTATAGCACGTACCTATATTTAGTCATTCAGAGATTGATTAAACTAATCACGACACTAATGAAATTGTAAAAGTAATTTTCGTGCACATTATTCTGCGTTCAGTCACGACAAGTAAAGTAACATAAGAGTACAATTAATTTACTAGTGCCGCTTCATTAAATAAATCTAAATATTCGCCGATGTTTTCAGGTGGAAACGGGTAACCACCACGCGGACGGCAGCCCGCAGTACATCTGCCGGTCGCACGGCTACACGGCCGAATGGCAGCGCAAGATCTACGTGACGTGGGTGGCGGCCTGCGTCTTCATCATCCCGCTTTTCTTCATCACCTTCTGCTACATCAGCATCGCGCGCGTCGTCTTCCGCAACGCCACCCAAAAGGTCACTGTCCACAACGGCGAAACACTGCAACTGCGACGCAACACGCCTTCCGTGCGCAGCGGCGCCAGCAATCATTTACAGCAGAGCGACCGCTCGCGGGTGCGGACCATCCAACTGACGGCCGTCATCTTAATGGGCTACATTATCTGCTGGACGCCGTATTTCACGTTAAACCTGTACAACGTCTGGACGGACTACCGCTACAAGAACGATATCCCGGCGGCCGTGCGCACCGTGGCGCGCTGTATGGGCTGGTCGTCCAGTTGTGTCAATCCCTTTATCTACGCGTTTTTCCACTGCCGGCGGATTCGTGGCGCACCGCGGGTCGGGAGGGAGACGGTGAATCTGATGCTGCAGAGTTTTCGGAGCGGGACGCCGCTGAAACCCAGCCAGTCGCCGTCGCCACGGTCCCCGCGATTAGTGGCGCATTTTAACTATGAGACGGTCCCGGAGACGGGGCAGTTTTTTCATACGGTCCAGAGTGATGATAAGCAGACGAATAGCCAGTTCACTGAGCATTCCGTATGAGCGTTTGCACATGGTTTTTTTTAAAGAGGGAATTTGATTTCAAGAGCGATTGATTAGTTTTGGAATTATTGGGAACTCTGCGGATGCATGCATGATAATTGCAGATTTTGTTATTTGTTTCCGATAGATTATTCCTCTACTCGATAGAAAACAGTATTTATTTTCGGTTATAAATTTATCGGTTTTCATGTTCTCAGCTGAAACTGAATAAAAGAATTTACAACAATAGTTTATTTTCTCATTAGCGTACTTCAACAAAGGATCGCTAAAATTATTCTCAAATTATGACCGCAAATAACTGGGAGAAAAATATTTTGAAAATTTATATAGGCAACTAGTTATAACTCGAATCTCATTATGGAACCGAACTCTTGTTTTAGCCGCCCTAAATGGCTGGACATAGCGTTGGAAACAGCTGTGGGGCAAAGCCACTCTTCTACGTTTGTGTATGATTGAATGTCGACGACAAGACGAACATATCGTCGCAATTTAAAGAAAAAATCGACTTGAACAAATTTGGTTAGTTTTTTCCGCATAAGTTCTGCACTCAGACCATAATCGACATCAAACAAAAAAAGGACAATTTAAAACACACATGAAAAATCTAAATAAAGATAAAAAACAATTTTAATTAGTTGTGACAATTTTAACTACAGTAAAAAAATATTGCAAACATCTTTATTGCAATAACGCAAACAATTAATTGCTTTTTATTCGGAAAGTTTCTAACTTTCCAACCTGAAGCAGCGCTTACGCAGATATCACAGCCTAAGCATGTGCAATAATAAACCTTTTTTTAACTATTAATCGCAAGAGCGGAAAGCCAAAACGTCCATGCATAAAGCAAAATTTGTGTTTCACTCAGACGTTAATCCCTAACTACACTAATTACAGAAAAACCGAAAATTGCTGTATCCTCAAAATAATGCTACTGCTGTACGTGGTTTAATAGATTTCTATTAAATTTAATTAAGAATTTTAGATTTAATTTACAAAATTACGGGCAAAATGCTCATACGTATCTCCAGAATATCGCACATGTACATCATCATTATCGCAATAATCTGAAAAATTATCAGGCAGTTGTAGAACGATGGCAAAGTTTTGATGAATTGTGGCTAGAGCAATCAGGAATACATACAATTTTGATGAATTGTTACTGTGTTACATACAACCATTAATTAGCTAAAACGTCCTCTCTTATTTTCGATCCACAATTTTTGTACTGTACATATTTGTGACGGTAAAAGGCCACACTTTTTACTTTCCGGTTTATATCGATTCTGTATAATTAGCTGTAATATGTGTAGCATAGCGTGTGGAATGTTCTTAATATTTAAAAACTCAAGAAATTTCACCAGGAGTAAAAATAAATTCCCACGAAAATCCTGATAAGTTCCAGATCGTAAATTATTAACCACCGCGCACTGTAATTATGTAAATAAACTACAAAAGTGCGGTTTAAAATACGCGCGTATTTTATAAAAAAAATTTATTTTTTTATATTTTATAAAATGCCTGCGCAGGCATTTTATAATTTATACAAAAAGTTAAAGAAAGCTCACACAGCGATCGTGGCTGGTAACTAATATTTTTTATAAGTTCAAAAGTGCGTTAAAAGGTCAAAAATAGTTGAAATGGAATTCGAATTAAAAAAATTCTAATGTGTGTCTAATTGTAAGGTTGCACATACCGGACAGACTTTTCGGCTCAATACTGATGAGGCTGGTGCAAGCAAAGCCATTCTACTACACTGCAAGGTAATGTAGCGATACTGGCTGTCGTTAACCCGCTGACGTATCCTCGTGCGGCGAGCGCGCATCGTTCTCGGCCAGAAATTTTCAAAAGTAAAAAATCTTGTTGTGATCGGTTACCCTCTGCCGAAAATCATAAAAAGAAATGCTATAAAAATTGATCATATTTTTTTCCATAAAGTTTCTTACGGAGACCATCGAGTTATGGGTCTCACAGAGGTTACACGTAATATGTCTTGCATTTTTGAACCATAAACAACGATTATGACTGATTAAAAAGTTATGTGCTTAGGCAAAGTATTAACTGAACATTTTGTTGTTAATATATTTAATATTCATTAAATAAGCTAAAGTTCGTCTAATAGGAAACGTTGATACGAAAACAAGATGAAAGAAAATCTTAAAGAAACTTAAAAAAAGGTTAGATAAAATATACTGTAGTGGGAAGGGAACTTAAAGGAAAAATCACTTTAACACAAGAAGTAATGCTAGTTTCGGCGAAATACACGTTGTCAAGGTATCTTCACTTAACCGGTATAACCGGTCCAGTATAGCACGCGTGCTGGGTTGCTGGATGGTGCATTGGCTACCGCTTGATACGTCAGGATACACTCTGCACTACGTCGGCCATACGTTACGTAGCTTGCACACACAATTCCGTACGACGTACGGCATCTCCGTTTTATTTTCATTCGATCAGCATTTTATTATCAACAGCATTAATACAATTTCACTGCCCAGTGTGAATTTTTACCTTTCGCTTTCGGGCGTCCGCACTTTTCGACCACTTCTTACCAACTTTGTCATTCAACCACTTGGTGTAAAAATGAATTCTAATTTGGAAATAACACGATGCACTTTTGCGAAAAATATCAGCCCAAGAACAGTTAGCAACACAAGGAGACCGAAGATTGTTTTTCTTGGCGAGAATATCTGCCATAATGTACTTCTCCGCGTATGCCAAAAGAGACTGCCTGGGAGAGAGGTACAAAACCTTATCAATACGATTTTGAAAAATCGTTTCCAAACTGCACACCATCGTGTGAAAGGTGTCTCCAACGAAATTCAATCCCCCACAATCCTTCATTTCGGTTAGCTTAGTGAAGTCAGGCGTTCCTCCAGAACAGTCCAACCAAAACAACTCCACACGGCAAGCGTCACAAACTTGTGCCTCCAGTTCTTTTTTTTTTGGACGTAAAACCGCTGAGGAAGTAAACCACATTTTGAACGGTCGTATTGGCTTGGATGCCTTCCAGGCCAAAGTCCAATTCGGGAACATCCGGCCCCGACTGCGAAAGTAGTGCCAAAGTTTTTGCAGCTTCCAACTTTTTTGCATACTCAGCGGATAATTCCAAAATATTCATCGAACCGATAACTGTCTCATCTTGCTGGTGTTCTATGTTAGTCCGTAGATGCTCGTACATTTTCTGCATGTTATGGAAAGATAAGATTCGAAAAATCGCGAGCATATTTTGCACCGTCGGATTATTACTCGCGCCACCCAGCTGTCGACACTGAGAAAAATACCTCTGCAATCGAATGTGGAAATTAGAAAAGCACTCCAGAAAAAAAAGGAATTAAATATGCAATTTGCTACCTCTTGCATATCGTTGTTAAAGTTCTACGTCTGCACATATTGCAATCCTCCTGCCAGAAGTTCCATAGATAGCATTCAAATGCTATCGAGCGTTACGACAAGATGGTCGATTGTAATATCGCAGATCCTGTCTTTCTGGTCACATTTTTCTTCCAGAGAAGCAACCTGTTTCAGTGCTGTAGTAATTTATCCAAAACTTCATTTTCAAATCGGATAGGTTGACGTCCAGGGTGTGGATATCCCAAACACGATTTCATGTGATCACTGACATCGTTTAAAAACAAGCAGAGTTCTTGGGTTCAGCGAGTGCCGTGCATCAGTTTCATTTCTTCCAACAGAGCGAGAGTGCGTGCAGAAGAGGCTGTCAACAAAACAACCGCATAATGAACTCGCTTTTGATTGAAACCATCCGGATGCACCATCGGGCTCTTCAGATGAGGGTGCATTTGCAGCCTTTCAGGTCTGCATGCGTATCGAGATCATACATCTGGCGAAAATGGCCAAAGTCTGCATGCAAGATCTTTCCGTTTCGTTTGTGTAAAAGTTCCCGCCCGGATCGATAAACTGCAATATTGACTATTTTACGATGCTCAATATAATGTCTACTTTTTTAAAACATATTTGCAATGCAATTTTTGTGATCGTTTGGCACTTGCCTTTAAAAGTCTGCTGTTAACTTCTTGTGACTGACAATTCCGCTTGAACATCTGATTCCGAACGTTTTTCCAGTCATGTGGGGGATCAATGATGATGTACCGAGGCTTGTTGTTGATTCCACTGTGGGATTTCCACGGTATTTTTTAAACAAAAACCCCAGTTCCTTTAAGGCTTTTATGTTTCCAGTTCCCGCGTCAAAAATGAGCAATCGAATCCGTATTTTTGTCTGATCTAAGAGCTCAATAGCTTCCTCAATGATTTTTTTCAAGATATGACCAGGCGTCTGCGAATTGGAGAAGAAGATGCCGATTGGCTGAAATAGTTTTCGCTTTATACTCCTTATGCAAACCGCCAACGCATGGTCAGCTGGTTTCATGAACTCTTCCTCTGCGAGGTCAGCCTTATGCTTTCCAAAGTCCACTAGTCCCAGTACGCGATCTTCCGATTCGACATATTGATTATTACGCCGACTCAGCTGCAGCTCATCCAAAGATAACGAAAAATCTCGTTCATCCTCCGGTTGATTTTCTGCCCAATGATCCACGCAGTGCAATATAAGTTTGTCAAATCCGGTGTCTTTAGAGAATCGCGCTACCCGCAATCCTATCTAGTTCGGATGAGGTAACGGTATTCCACGATCACGCAAAAAGATATAAGCTCTTGGGCTATAGTAATCGAGTAGGACTGCGAAATCCATATAATCGACATCGTATTTCGTGGGATCGAAATTGTGTTTCCGAGATATGTCGAGAAATTCTGCAAGGAGGTCTTTGGAGCTTTCAGGAATTAAATTCGAATCTTTCAGATCCTTGGCCGCTGCACGAAGGTATTCGAGCTCAGCATCTTGCTTTCGAATCTTGGAATCTCTACGCGAAATTCTGGCTTTCAGTGCGCGCTGTTCCTTGGAAACTGACTCCGAGCACATGCGCAACGTTTTAACATAACTTGCTGTGGCAATATACTGCTTTCGGTATTCCTTGCATGACTTACAACACTTCTTTTCGTTTCCTAGGTATGCAAGTGCCAAGTTCACATTTTGGATTGCCTTTGAAAGTAGGGCAAAGAGTGCTAGAATCCAGAAAGGAGGCAAGGTCCACAATACTCTGAAAGCTGGTAACTGGCGCAACAGTGATATCTCTTCCCGTGTACATTTTATTACGCACGCGCACTACTACTTCCAGCGTGTTCAAGATTCAAATC